TTTTTTTTTTTTACGAGCAGCTCCATTTATTTATACTCGAAGCTGGGCAGAGGTGAAAATTTAAAAAAAAAAAAAAAGATAACTAGTTAGAGGAATTGTTATTATTGTGAATTCACGAGAAACTATCATTATGAAGAAATTATTGTGTAAAAGTGAAACTGAAACTGAAAGTTCGTTATTTAAGTAGAGGACATTGAATTCAATAATTTAATTATAATTTTTAAAAGTAATCATCAAATCAAATCAAGCGACGAATCAAATGGAAATGCATTCAAAAAAGGAAAAAAAAGTCCAAAGCATCGTCCTTGAATGGTTAATTCATGTTGTCTGGAAAGAAAAATCATTAATTAATCGTAATGATTCTGTTTACCGGAAACGGGTGTCGAAACGCGAGGGCCAATTGCGCCAGGGACAAGAACAAGACGTGAACCCGCATTTTGTCCAATCAGAGGCCGGTGTCACCTGCGAACAGAAAATAGTAGAATTCAAGCGAATTAAATAAAAATTTTCTACAGTTTTCTATAATTACAATTTTCTTCTTTTTTCTTTTTTCTTTGTTCACTAATTACACAAAACTTACAGTCTACTATTGTCTCTGCAATCAAAATAAATTATAACGTATATTATAATAGTAGATTAATATTTTTATAAGTTTAAAAAAGACAACAACGAAATTTATTCGTTTTCTATAATTCAAGCAACGAAAAAAAGTTCAATTCAACAGCAGAGAATAAATCAGCCACTGTCGGGCAATGGTTTTTCGAAATTTAGTTTTAGTTATAGAAAATCAACAGATGTTGTCACTTTTTAGCTTGAACTTATTAACTTATATTATTCCGTTATTAGAAATTAAATTACTATTACACTACACTGCAATTGTTACGAAATAATTCGCGTGTCAGTCCTTCATTACAGGACGCAACAATTAGTAGTTATCATTGTAGAATACAATGACATTCGTAAAAAAAAAAAAAAAAATCCGAAGAAACAGTACAAATTGACGAAGTGATTTGAACCTTCATTTTTCTGTATCACAGCTTCCCCGCATTTGATGATTAAATCATCGAATTTAGTTCAGAGCGAGTAATACAACGTTTCTGTTCCTCGCTTGGCTGATTTAACACCAATTTGGTTCACAGAAGGTGAACTTCAAGAATTCTATATCAAAAAGTTTCGTGTCTTCTTGTTGCAATGCAATTGAGAACGTCTCTGCATTTATCAAATATCTCCCCTTGATTACACAGACACGATAAATCAGACGTACTGCATGAATACATGAATC